GGTGGTGCAAAACCACTTTCTTTCCACAAAAGCTCCTTTGATGAGGAGCAGCTTATATCTGTGGAACTTTTATAATGACTAAGATGACTAGAACCAGGCCCTGATTTTTCCATCACATAGGCTAAAGGTCTCCAGTCAGTAATAGATCCAAATTTAGTTTGTCTCAAAGCATACAAGTAGGAGCCTTGACATTTTGACCAATGAATCCAATCCACAATATCAGTAAACACTTGCAGCTTACACTGAGACAAATGGGGCAATAATGCATGTTGTTTTAAAATTAATTTAGTAAATATGATTGTAGTTAATAAATATTTAAAAAAAATTTAAAGTAAAAAGAACTGAATGTTTGTATTATAGCCTATTCCCCTTTTCTGTTTAAAGAGTATTTCTTTTAATATTTGGTCTTTTTTAACATTTTGGATTGTGGCTCTTGAGAGCAGCGGTCATATGGGCCTTTATCTGATTTCCTCTAAGAGCGGCTTGGAATGAGGCGGTATCAGTGTTTTTACAAGCTCTAATAAATTTCTCAATTGAGGCATTTTTCTCATGTCTAATGGGTGCCAATATCTGCTGACAATCCTCGTTAGCATTTTCAAAGGCTAAAGAAAATAATAACTTACCTTGTGTCTCGGGTCCAGGAACTGATGGCTTGATGGCAGTGCGAAGCTTAGCAAGAAATTCAGCATATGGCTTAGTAGGATCTTGAATCATTTTTGTAAAAAATTTTTTTCTCCAGGGCTGTCAAGTTGGGCCCAGGCTTGGAGGCAAATACTCCTTATTTCTAACAAAATACTATCAGGAATTTTAAGCTGTTTATCTTGTTGTCTAAAATCTCCTGTCCCTGTCAGTTGATGGTACGGCAAATCAGGGCTATTATTATTATGTGCGATAGCTTTCTTTTTCTACCAAGGATCAAAAAGCAAATATTGAGCAGGTGAAAGCGTCATCTCTGCTAATCTTTCCCAGTCCCTGGGTGTAAGATAACGATCCTCACAATAAGAACATAAAAACCCTTGAGTATACGGGGCATTTGGATCATAAGACACAGCCGCATCCTTAAGAGTCTTGAGGAATTTTAAATCAACCTCAGTATATTGTACTTGGACTCCTGCTCTTACCGC